TTTCATAATTTTAAGCGATAAATTATATGCAAACATACTATTAACATGATTTCTTCATTGTCATTGATTTCAGGTAACTAAATTTATTAGTCATGTTTAGAGACTTTCTTAGAATTTGATATTTTGGCATGATCTTTGTGGTTGTAATGCCAAAATATCAAGTGGGCTCATTTGTCTCTTGATATTAATTATTATTGGCCTCTCGAATATTCTATTTTATTTACCTTTTTTATTTTTCCTTTATTTAGTGTTTTTATTTGTATGTAATGCAGTCAATGTATAACAATAACCTTAGTTCTACAAAATTATAATCACATATGGTTTTAAAATTTGTATTCATACCTACCGAGCATTTGAAAGAACGACAGTTTTTTTTGTGATTATACATTTTTCTCAAATATTTCAAAAAATATGCATCGTTACCGATTCAATTCGAATCGAAATCACATAGTATTGCATATAACCAAAAGTAAACTAGAACTATTGGTTCAAAATTTTGAATTGAAATTGGCAATTCATGGGTGGATTAAGGTTCAATTTGATGTTAAAAAATGAACTTGAATTGGCCTAAAACCAACGGTTTCGGTTCTATTCAAACCGAAAATTCTATTTTAATTTTGAAAAATATATAATCATCTATTCTATGCACCTCTAAAAATTTAAAAAACATACAGTTGACTTAAAAAGTTAAAATTTTAAAAAATTAAAAGTGGCAAAAAAAAGTGAAATACATTTTTTTTTGAAACATTTTTCAAAATTTTATAATTATTTATTTAAATAATAACACTTAGACAAAATAAAATCATAATTTATTTGATTATTTTATATTTATTTATAAAGTTAATTAATTGTATTTCTTATATGAATATGAGCATTCCAAAAGTTATTTAAAATAAAATTTACTAAATTTTTTTTCCAAATTCATACTAATTTTTTTGAAAAAAAAAATACAATCTCATAATCGAATTTTTATTATTTTTTTTAAAAAATAATACGCATATCGCAAAATCGCGATCAAAACTGTCGGTTCATCAGAACTACGCTAGGACCGACGGTTCAAATTCAATATTTCAAAAATTTTGAACCGGCCATACATATGAAAAACAGATGAACCTCTGAAATACCCAATAGAGGAAAATTAACGTCTTGGTGCAATTTTGAATAAATGATTGATTATCTTCCTTCGTGTCTTAATTTCTTGCCTATAATATTAAGAGTGAAAAATTCAAAATTTATAAAATCTGACAAGACAAAATGAAAATAATTATAGGACAATTAAACAGTAATATATATCTTTTTTTTTAACTAGTTTTTTTATAAATCAAAACTAACTCCCCCGTTAAAACTTCAACATTAATTATATCAATAATATTTTAGTTGCTAGATACAGAACTATAAAATTAAAGAGCAATTCTCACTCTGTGAATTAGAAAACTTTGTGTAAAGCGTGAAATTACAAAGTGCATGTATATTGATAGAGATTAAGTAGTGATTTATCTGACTTCTCCTTTTTCACTTTCCTCTTATCTATTGTTTCCTTTTCTACTGCAATCATCAACTCATACTTCCTTTCTCTTTTTCTTCTTCTGTTTACTTTCCATTCAATTTCACTTTCTGCTTCTTTTTCTTGTCGTCCTTTATTTTTTCACTTTTTCTCCCTCACTTTTTCTTTATGTTTACAAAGAAAGAATGAAATAGAAAAGATTCAGGTCAAAGGTCAAAGGACAGAGGGTGTGGACTAGAATAAAAGGGGAGGAGTGGAAAAAATAGTTGGAAATGAGAGAATAAAAAAAATGTATTTTAAAATATTTATTTTCTTAATTGGATAAAATTACAACTAAAATTTTAAATTAGCATAAAAAACCCAATAGTTAACAAATCAATGGGTTTAATTACATTAAAGAAAAATGAAATTGAAAATAAATGGAAAATACTAACAGCCAACCCATAAGCACACAATACATACAAAAAAGCAACATTCAATAAATAATTCACCTCATAGCTTCTCCTTATTGATAAGAACAATTTTATTTCCTCAACTATCAGTAATATTTTTACTAAAATCACTTTGCAGTTCATCAACAAAATCAAGTACAAGTAATTTTACCAGCAAGAAGCAATTGAAACTGTTTGGTCAACAAGAACAAATGGAAAGACAAAAACTGCAATTTCGAGAACTTCCCATGTTAGCATAGTAATTAAAGACCCAACGCGCACTAGGGCACAAAGGGCTGCTGGAGCCTAGGTGCTAGCCTCCGGGCAAAAGTGAGGCGAAAAAAATAAAAGAATAAAATACATAAATCTGAAAAACATATTTTAAAATATCAATCAAAAAGAAGTAGAAAAAATGTAAAGAAACACACAAATCATAAAAAAATGGCAACATGAAAAATTATATTTTAAGATATTAGAGTTATGACAGAAAAGAGTATAATCAAAAAAAAAAAAAAGAAAAAAAGAAAAAATAGAAAGCAAATATAGGAAGAAAAATTAAAAGAGTTATATCTGGATGGGATGGGGCTAAAGACTAGATTGCAAGAGGTGACCGCTAGATAAAGGAATGGAGGTTGGATCGCAGAGCACATCACCAGTTTTTGTGTTGCATTTTATTTCTTTTATATTTATTTATTTATTTTGTGTAAGCTGATGGTGGCCAGATAGCTTTATATTGAAAAAAAAAACCCTAGGCTACTTGTTCTATAAAACAAAAAAATAAAAAAGTGCGCCTTTCTCGAGCTAAAGGAGCAACGCACACCTCTACCCAGAGAGGATAGCCTGAGTCAAGTTGCCCGCCTCAGGACTGTTGAGACGCAAGCCCTTCAGCGAGGCATGCCTTTAATAACTATGCATGTTAGCATGCAAACAGTTAGTCTATTATAAGAGAGATATATAATAGAACCTTCTAAAGATCTTTCCATCTAAGCTAGCAATAACTAGTACAATGTTCCTGTCCATTTAGCCATATTAGTTTGGTGAAAGTCAAAAGATTACCAGCCTCTGGTCATATTTACAGACATAGTACAACATAAACTTTTTTTTAACCCCTTTCGGTAAATTAATATCTACCTCTCATTTTAATCCAACATGTGATCTCAAGTTTGCCTCTTTCCTGTATCAAGTTTCTGCAGTATCATCACAAAAGGACACAAGAAGTTTCCTACTAGTAGTGGCCAATTTACCTTACAACCACAAGCATATCCATCTAAAACAATATCTTTTAACAAGGACAGAAGAAGTTTCCTACTGCATTATCTTTTTATGAATTTCAATCTACAAAATAAATATTTTTCTACAATTGAAATAATACATAACAAAGGTCTAAGTAAATAAACTTAATATTAAATAAAATATATTAATTGAATATCAAATTTGTACCAAGAATTACCATCTTAGTACAAATAAAATTTGTAAATTCTGGATACAAACATTTTATAATAAATATTTAAATACATTCTTTACAAAAATTGAAAATATTTTACAATTATTGATTTTTTAATACTCAAAAAACTAAAATTAAAAAATTATAATAGAAGTGTATTCAATATGCATCAATAAAAAAATGCCAACTGCAACCATTAATTAATGTGGCACGAAGTTATTCCTTCCTCTCATTTAGTGCATGCCACGTCTCAACCCCTCGGGCATTTTGACCTACTTTATACATCCATTAATGTTTCTAATGGTATGGAACAATATCCACTAAATATATAAATTCACCTCTATAACTTTAAAACTCGACTTTTACTTTTGACTCATTAAATACTTCAACTTATAAAACTATATGAATTAAACACTTCTAAATTTCAAAATTATTTTATTAAACACTTCACTTTGTAAAATTAGATCAATTAAACACTAATTAAAAAATTGAAATTTATGAAATTATTGTTCTAAAGTCATGCTAATTACATATTAACCTATATTTTACAGTTAAAGCAAAAAATCATAAAAATTATTGATATTAGTATTGAAAAGTATATAATATTATCAAAATTTATAAATTTAAATGTACCATAAATCATATGCAAAGTATAGAATGCCACAAAGTTAAAGTTGTAAAGTTCAGAAGTAAATTTACGTATTTAACCGAACAATATCATTATTAAAATAAGCATGCACTTATGAGCAGGAGGAGACGACAAACAGAAACATGAGCCTACATATTGCTACCCTAAGTTGCAAGAAAATGAAGTGGTGAACTATAAACCCCTCCATCCAAGAAAATAAATATGGAAAAGAAATTACTACTAGACTTCGACAATTGTCATTAGATATGATTAGACTTATATCAGGTTTATGACCAAATTAATGCATTTTGAAAATTAATTTATCAAAGTTATGTGATTTAAGAAGAACATATAAAAGTGATATAAGGGGTGTCGTGCATTTTTAACAACGCAAAATCACCACCAGCAATAACAGTTTCTCATGCAAGAATTGAAATAAAATAAAAGAAAAGAAAAGAAAAAAAAGATTGTGCTGTGCGCAAAACCGCATTGAAGTGTCACTATATGCAAGGTTTCAAATAAAAAAAAAAAAATGTAATGTGTACTGAAAGTGGCGATTTCAGTGTCACTGTGGGGAGGGAAAACAAAAACAAATAAATGGAGCAAATAAAAAAAATTAGATGGTTTCTTGGCTCACAATATCAAGTGGTCAAGTCATGGTTGTATGAGAAACTGCCAGAAAATCACAAGTTTTTTTTTTTTTGAAATCTTGCATGACACTAAAATCGCCACTGTCAGTGAACATTGCAAATGTTTTTTATTTTGTTATTTGAAATCTTGCATGAGAAACCACTATTAGTGGCAGTCGCAATATCGCATTTTTAAAAATGCTGAGCACCCCCTCATATCACTTGTGTAAATTCTTTTGAAATCACAGTACTTCTATAAATTCTTTTAAAATCAAATTACTTTGGCAAAATTGTTATCCAAAATGCATTATTTTGGTCACATACTGGTACTTTTCTTTTCATTCTTTTTATCTTTTTGCTAACATGAGACAATGCAATGACTATATTTCATATACGTAACATATTCACATAAACAATTGCTGTCCAAGACATGAAATTTTCTTTATCTATACATATAGCTGGACAGGTACACTACTACTACTACTACTACTACTACTACAATTTTTGTTCACCTAAGAAGCTCAGAAGGAGATAAAGAACCTGTTAATGGCAATCCTCTACTCATGAAATCCTTCAGACCATTGAAATCTGATATTGCCCTGTTGACGGTTTTTGGTAGCATTCACCAGATGCCGTTGCACAGATTTGCTATTAGTTTCAAACACAAACGCCATTCCCCCAATCTGCAGATACAATGCTAACTATAATATTAAATATCTTGTAAAAGCACAACATATTGGTGCAAGCACTATGATAAACAAAAAGGAATAGCATAATAAGATGCAAAATGGCAGCAACCAACTCCAAAACATTTTAAAGTGTATTAAACAGTGAGATAATAGAAAGCAACATACCTCAATCAAATTACTTGAACCAAGACCCACAGTCTGCCCTGTCACAACTTCTTTGCCATTCAAAAATACTAGACTTTTACCAAGATTCTTCAAAAAGAAGGAACCATCTGCTTCCATCCTTATGAGTGCCTAGCACACCAGCAATCACCATTATATTTCATACAATGCAAGGACCACAGATCTCACTGGATGCAATAAACTCAAAATGGGGATTTCGTGATAGATAATTTGATAAATGCATTGCAGTGAGGAAAAAAATCATCTCTTGAATTATACAAATGCCTTAAACAAGCAGAAGTGGAGTTATATAAGTTGCATAGTAACTTCAGATTGCTCTGAACTGCAGTATTGCCAAGATCAGATGAACAATGACCAGGACCCAGGGTCAAACTCAGTCATCCAAAATATATTCAAGTTGTGCAAAGGCAAAATGCCCAAATAAGTATTTTCTTCCTCTTAGTTGCTTCTCCAATTGCTACTTTCTTTTTTGTTTTAATCCCCAATGTCAGAATCAGTTTTATAGCGTAGCCGACAATAATTATGTGCATTATTCAAGAGAGAGAGAGAAAGAGACAATGAGACACTTGTCGGAAAGTGTAATTCCTAGGAATCTCCATTAATGAATCAAAGAGCAAACTAAAAAATAACTCAATACGGTCTTCATGATCAACTTTGAATGCAAATCTAGATAATAGTATCAGAAAAACTAAACAAATCCCACCTGCCGTCTTGATATTTTGTTGGCAGGCCCTTCTCTTGCCAAGTCAATATCAACTTTCATATCATCTGTTGCTCTGCCAAGTATAACCTAGATAGTGAAGGTCACATGTGATTATATGAACAAGAAAACAATCTTGAGAAGACTAATAAATAATAATCAGTACAAGCTAAGAGATAAAACTCCAGCCATAAGCATAAACTAAAATATCAATTTTGAATGGAGATCAGTGACAAGAAAAATCAATCACAGGTATGCAGCTGAGGAAAAGAGAGTGGTCCAACCTTAGTTTAACATACCTCAGTTTCCCTTATATAATGCTTCAAATGGCGTCCATACAAGACAGCAAGTGCACCTCGAGATGCAATGGTCCTTTGCATTGATGATTGAGCACACTGTTCCAATCTTATAATTTTCCTTACAGAATCCTCATTTTGATACCTTGAGACTAGAAATTAAATTTAATAAAAGAAAAAAAAAAGGAGTTCAAAATAATTATCCTGAGACAACAAGCGGATTTAGTTCAACTTAGCAGCGAGCAGCTAGAAGAATGAAAATATTTCTACTGTCAATTAATTAATTAGCTCTGAACTAGGAATAATTATTGGGCGACAACTAGCAGAAACTAAAAATTATTCAAAAAGCAGGTAATCATCTAAAAACAAATAAATAGTTAGCACAGGTAATAATGAGTGCGCAACTACTAGATCAGTGGAGATTTCAAACAGTTTCCAGAACAAAACTTGCATGTAAAATCTATATACCAGAAGAGAAACATTGATCTGTATGAAAAATGGATATAGAAGACAGAAACCGTTTCCAGAACAAACCTTCACTAGAAATGTGAGAATCTATATCATCTGGGAATAAGTCCATTTCAAGTATCTAAACCAAGAAAAAACCCCATTAACCAGTGAAGAAGTTAGAAACAAATCAAAACAAAAATTGAGATGCGCCCTCTAATAATACATGAAATCAGATTTACCATGGCCTCAATATCAGAATAGGATGGAAAATCATCTTCAATCTCAGATTCTTCCTCATTTACCATCAAGGTGTCTGATTCTGTCACTGAAGTCACTTGTTCAGGTGAGCATGTCGTCGCATATACTGGCAAATCCATGAAATTACATGCATGTAATGTCTCTGAATTCAGTAGTTCAACTTTGGTGGAGATTCGAGCAGCCTGGTTTACACTGCATTGGTTGGAGTCTCCATTAGCCTCTCTGGAGGCTGCATCACGAGGAGATTCACATTTGACTCGACAGCCAACAGGTTGATGGCCTGAACTGGTTCCTGGCCAGATGTTCAGTACCGATACTCGGGTAGAAATAAGAGATGGCAGAGGATTTTCTTGTTTCTTCACCAACCGTTGCCCTTGTTTATCTTTTCTAGGAAAGAAAACATGATCATTGCATGGAATTTCAGGGTCTTCACTGTTTAAAATACACTCAAGTTCTACATCAGAGTGCTTCATAGATAATGTACTTTCTGCTAATACAGATGATGGTAAATTCATTTCTGAACAAAAACGTGGCCCCTCAGGAATTTCAAGACTTTCATCTGAAAATAATGTATTTGATTCTTTAACATCTGAAAATAATGTATTTGGTTCTTTAACATCTTGTGCACTACCATGATCATTATCCCAAAAACTCATTGAAATGCCATCATCAAAACAAGATTTATTATCTACCGCGTGTTGACCATCTGCATCCACTAAAAGCAGATCATCCTCATTCGAAAAGTTTAATAGTGCCTCCGAAAGATCTGCATAATCACATTTTGAAATTGCAGGTGAACAATTAAGTATATCAACACCATTTGCTTCCATTCCTGATAAATTACCTTCCAATTGGTTTTGATTAGAATCACCAAACACACAATTTCCATCTCCTACCGGACTATGAAATGCTATCCCATTGTCCGGCGCATCAAGAAAACTAAAATTAGGACATTTTGCAGATCGGCTACAAATTTTCTTCCTCGTAGCATAATACATCTGTCGAACAGTTTCAAGCTTTCTTTTAACAGATACCTCAGCAACACTAACCCTAGAATTCGTAACAGAAAGTTCTACCTCCATCATACGAGCAGAAGCTTCAGCTGATATAATAGGATCATAGAGAAGAGAATGCCATCTATCACGCAATTCTCCAACAGTAAATTTTCTCGAGAATCGAACAGCTCCTTTAGCAAGTGCTTCTAAAGAAGCGCCTGCCTGTAATCATAAACAAATGAAAATGAAAAAATTCAGGAAATTCAAAACAAACTGGTGTCAAAATTCAAAGAAATTAGGGTTTCAAACATTAAGAGAAATGGGAAAATAAAAATCAATCAGAAGGTTGGAATTGAGAAGAAATTGAACTAAAAAGAAGAGAGAATTGTACCTCAACGGCATTCTTCAATAAGAGGTCATCTTCAGGTATCCATTGAGGAACTGAAGCAGCTAAAGCTGCCATTAGTAATGTAGATTGTACTTATAAACTTCAAAAAACCAAAATCGCTTGTTTATGGTTGAATTGATAGAGGAATTGAGCTTTCGAATGTAATATTTTCAAAATTAGGAAATTCAAAACAAAAAAACCCCCCCCCCCCCAAACTGGTGTCCAATCAAGAAGAAAATTAAGGGTTTTCAAACATTAAGAGAAATGGGCAAAATAAAAATCAATCAGAAGGTTGGACATTGAGAAGAAATTGAAGACTAACAAAAGAAGAGAAGAATTGTACTCAAACGGCATTCTTCAATAAGGAGGTCATCTCAGGTATTGCCATTTGAGGAACGAAGGCAGACTAAAGCTGCCATTAGGTAATGGTAGGATTGTACTTATAAGCTTCAAAAAAACCAAAATTCGCTTGTTTATGGTTGAATTTGATAGAGGAATTGGAAGCTTCGAAATGTATAATTTTCCATGAAATATGGAGTGAGAATTGAATTTCAATTCCAAAATTCAAAATTTGAATTTTGTTCCGAAATTGGAGGTAAATGTGGTACTTGGTTTTAGGCCTTCGGTTTTTCAAAAAACCGCGGGTAATACCTTTTTCTGCTGTGTGGATCCGAAAGCTAATTGTATTTTTTATTTTTTTATTTTGACCTTTTTTAGTTTTTCTATAATTAATCGTAATATTATCTCTAAAAAAATCGTAATAATTAAAAAATCTTTTTATAAATATAGTAAAAATAATAGATGATCTTCTTGGGAAATTCAATAATTGCGCGCATGAAAGAATAATTTTAATTAACTGTGAAATCTATATTCATTTTAATGCTTCATAATGTATTTTGCAAATTGTAATTAATTTTGATTAAAAGATTCGCTTTGTCTATGAAATGAAAAAAGAAATGAAAACTATTTAAAAAAAGAAAAATATTGTTTATATTATAAATAATTTATTTATGTGTAATGTTCATAACTTCTCTAAAATTTATTATTTAAATAATATCATAAAATTTTTTATAAACTTTTAAAATGCTTTAAATTGGTGTATTTATATAAGTATTAATTATTTTTATTTATGATCAAAGTAAAGATAATAGGAATGAAAATGGAAATTCTCTCTTAAATACTTTTTTCCATCTTTTTCAATTTTTCTCTATATATATTCTAGATATAATAACTTTATATTAGTCTTTTAGTTTTATAAAGCACAATTAATTAATAGCCCAGGAACTGTTTCAAAAATGCTCATGCCCAAGTCCCTACCATCTTATCTTTGGGATTTAGTCCTTCCTTATTTTTAGGTTTTCATAGCATGATTTCCTGTGATTAATATTTTTTCATAATTCTAGTTGTTTATTTGGGAGAAATATCTTGTAACTCTGATTGAGTATACTGCTTTATATATACTCAATTCACCTTTTTGAATAAAAATAAAGCGTTCTCCATTAACTCAATTATCTTTATGGTATCCAGAAGCAATAATAACTCCACGAGTTGAATTTTTTTTATCATATTCCACACTTTCCCAATCTCATAATGGTCATCCACTATAAAAACGTTAAGCTTCTCCATTACTCAATTATCTTTATGGTATCAGAGCAATAATAAACTCCAACGAGTTGAATTTTTTTTCATATCCACACTTTCCAATCTCATAATGTCATCCACTATAAACGTTGTCAACTCTGATAACACCACCAGCACCAATATTGTAGTGCAATTTAACCCAGACTCACAATTGCTTATCAAACTCACAGGCAGCGGTAACTACACAACCTGGAAATCCCAAGTTTCCATGCTCATGTATGGACATAATGTTCATGGCTATCTAGATGGTATCTTCCCTGCCCCACCACAAACAATTACTGTTAATAATGTTACTGCCCCCAATCCGACTTTCTTGAAATGGGTCCAACAAGATAAATTGGTTCATAATGCCATTTTAGCTTCTGTTGATCCCACACTTGCTCATTCTCTCACCAATGCTCACAAAGCATGGACCTCTCTTCAAACTGCTTTTGGTATCAAATCTCAAACCCGAATTATTCATTTACAAGACCAACTTGCTCACACAACTAAAAATGGTTGCCCTATAGCCGATTACATGCACGACATTCGTTCAATTGCTAATGAGTTATCCATTGCAGGTGAACCTCTCACTGATATCGCCTTAATGGTTCGGATTCTACAAGGATTAGGACCAGAATATACATCCATTGTTGCAGCCATTTGATCTCGTCCCTCCTCTATATCCTATGAAGAACTCTATGAACAACTTATTGATCATGAAATTTTTCTCCAAAATGAAGAGGCCAAGAAGATTCCAAATATCACTGCTGCAGTTGCTCAACGCAACACTTCCAATTCATCTCGCCAATTTCGTCAACAGTCTAATGGTTCCTCAAATACTCAAAATTGGCATCCTCAACAACCCAAAAATAATTACAATGGTCCTAATCAATGGCGTTCCAGGAGAAATTCTCAAGACACTGAGAACCTCATTCAATGTCAACTATCTGGCCACTTTAATCATACTGCTAATGTTTGTCGCTCAAAGTCACTTGACCATCTACAAGCAAAAGCATTGTATTCCAATCACAGCTCTCAACAGTAACAACCTTGGATCATTGACAGCGGTGCCAATCACCACATCACATCTGATGCAAATGATCTAACCACTTTACATAACTATCACGATGAAGATGAAATTTACATTGGCAATGGTAACTCAATTCCAATATCTCATACAGGTAACACTGACCTACATGCTTCAAACTAGATGTTTCAACTTTCTCGTATTTTATGCTTTCCCAACATCACAAATAAACTTATATTTGTCTCTCAATTCTGCATTGACAATAACACTTTAATTGAATTTTTCCCTTTTCATTATTTTGTGAAGGATCAGATCACGGGGGCGCATCTAGTTCGCGAACAGAGTAAAGATGGACTCTATCAATGGCCTCCAAGAAGTCTACGTGCCAAATGTAATCTTACAGTGTCTCATGATCTTTGGCATAAGCGTCTAGGTCATCCCAATAATCAAGTTTTAAATAAAATTCTCCATAAATTTTCAATTTCAATAACTGATTCATCTACTTCTATTTGTAATTCTTGTCATTCAAATAAAATGCATCGTCTTCCATTTGTAGAAAATACTCTACAAAGCTCATCTCCTCTATAAATAATATATAGCGATCTTTGGGGACCTTCTCCCACAGTTTCAATCGATCGAAAATGCTACTATATTTTATTTATAGATAATTTTTCTAGGTATATGTGGCTATACACGATACAATCCAAATAAGAAGTTGTACAAATTTTTCATCTCTACATCCCTTAATGGAAAAACATTTTGGCACCAAAATTTTATCTCTGTACACGGATGGAGGAGGAGAATTTCAAAGCTTGTCTCCATATTTAAGAGCCTATGGCATTTAACATCTAGTTTCACCACCATATACACCTCAACATGTGGCTCTAGTTGAACGCCGATATCGTCATATAATTGAGACTGCCAAAACACTATTATATCAAGCCTCTCTTCCATAAAATTTTTGGAGTTTTGCCTGTCATCAAGCTGTCTATCTCATAAATCGTCTAATCACACCAAATCTAAATCATCAAAGTCCTTATGAAATTTTATTTCAGGATGCTCCTAAATATGAGTCTATTAAAGTTTTTGGTTGTCTATGTTACCCATGGCTTCGACCCTATACAAAAAATAAACTAGAGACCTGCTGCTCTCCTTGTGTTTATTTGGGGTTTTCATATAAACACTATGCTCATCAATGTTTTGATCCAGTAAAATCCAAGTTATATTTGTCCAGGGATTTTTTGTTTTTTGAAAATAATTTTCCTTATGAACATATTTTTTCCACCTTTAAAGATAAAACCACCACCACTTTCTGTACAAATTTACCAAGTCACGTGCTACCCAGTAAAATAAAAATTTCTCCATCCAATCTTGATCTTCCAGACTTGGCTAAGACTCCATCACTTTCATCTAGTTCCACTTACTCTGTTCCAACTACGGCATCACTGAGATCAGGTACTTGCACTTCCAATCATTTTCCTACAACTAATCAAGAAACCCACCCAACAATCCAATCACCAAATTCAACTACTATATCACCATCCACTACAAATTCAAACTTCAATGTCCTACCTACACCAACCTCTACATCAAATAACACCCTTCCACCAGTCCCTACAACTCCCAAACACACAAACTCCACACACCCTATGACTACCAGATCCACAATTGGAAATCTTAAACCCAAACAATTTCACACCACAGTTTGCTCGATCCCTATTCCCAGAACATACAAGCAAGCTATTCTACAACCCTTATGGCATACAGCCATGAAGTAAGAGTTCAATGCACTTGTCAGAAACCAGAAATGGGATTTGTCACCTTGTGATTCATCTAAAAACGTGGTTGATTGTAAATGGTTATTTTGAATTAAATATCACCCAAATGGTTCTGTTGCCAGGTACAAGGCAAGGCTTGTAGCCAAGGGCTTCACTCAGCGCCCTGGATTGGATTTTCATTCCACCTTCAGTCCAGTGATTAAGTCAACCACAGTCAGACTTGTTCTCTTTATTGCAACTCAGCAAAACTGGTCTATACGTCAACTTGACGTCAATAATGCTTTCCTTCAGGGTCACTTGGAAGAAGAGCTTTACATGAGACAGCCATTGGGTTTTGAGCATCCCACATACCCGACACATGTTTGCAAGCTAAAAAAGGCAATCTATGGCCTCAAACAAGCGCCCCGAGCATGGTATAATGAGCTGAAGAATTTTCTGGTAACTATTGGTTTTTCCAAATCAAAATCAGATCCTTCTCTCTTTATATTACATAAGTTTGGCTTCACTGCATATATCTTGGTTTATGTGGATGATATACTTGTCACAGGAAATCAGACGTCTGGCATTCAACAGATTATTAAATTACTGGCCACTTGGTTCTCACTTAAAGATCTTGGACCACTACATTATTTTTTAGGGATTGAATTTTCTGGTAACTATTGGTTTTTCCAAATCAAAATCAGATCCTTCTCTCTTTATATTACATAAGTTTGGCTTCACTGCATATATCTTGGTTTATGTGG